CATGATTGAATATCCCACTTTATTTTTTGTTAATACTTGTTTCCTTGATGTCTCCTTCATCTGATATTAGGATTAGTATGGCCATACCAACTTTCTTTTGATGGGATCGTAAATTTTTAGATCTGGAAGTGAATATATGTATGGGCTAATTCTCCCTCATTTTATATGTAATTAAAGGTTTATAATTCTATTGAACTTGCCAGGTGTTACTTTCAACCCAGCACAAAAACTTTGGGTCCCATTCTAGTTCTGCTGAATTCTTTGGAAACATACTGTAGTTAATTCAAATAGCCTCAGCTCATGTTCTTCTAGGCTGTTCTCCTGAAGTTTATACTTGGTTGATCTATTTTAGGAAGGTGAAGGCGTGTTCTGAAGCCAGTTAGGGCTGGTTCATAATAAACTCTATATTCATTACTGCCTTTTCTGGCTTGATGCTTTCCTTTTGGGTGTCAGTGCTGCTCTGCTAGGCTTTGTTTGGGCATCATTTTCTAAAACTTGTTTTTCCCTACACTACTCTGTGGCTGGCTACTTAGAGGCTGCTGTTCTCTGTCTGCCCCAAACAGTCTGCACACATGCTCTGTCACCTTCTCCTTCCTGGGAGCATTGTGGGGCATCTGATTCTCTTTTGGTCTTGGGTAGAGGGGAGAATGCCCCCAGAAGATTATTATAAAAGTAATTAAGTGTTATGTGCATATACATTTTTATAATTCTCTATCTAATTTCCAGTGCCTCAAACTCCCTCTGTATTCTTGGCAGTAAGATCTTTTTCCACTGTTTCCAAAACCCTTAAATCTATGATTATGAAGATTATGTTTTGAAAGTTTCCCCACTTAATTCTCATTTGTGAAGCATGGGACAGATCCACTTAAGCAAAGAATTTGGGGCCTTCCATTGTCACCCACCATGTCTCTATGTTTTGACCTCTATTAGGTACATCATACAAAAGGCCATTGAGTCTCCAGGCTCATTAATGATGATGCACCCAAGGCCCAGAATAATGGCAACTTGCCTGGGTCCATATGCTTATGTAGGAATAGAAATGGACCTGATTCCTAGCCTAATTCCTTGGTAATTGTGCTTTGTATTAAGTTGTTTAATAAAATATATTCTGTGTTTAAAAAATCCCACCTTGGCTTTCCTACTTATGCAGGGTCTGAACTTTGGAAAATTAATTCACCTACCTTGGTTTTCTCATCTATAAAATGGATTAACTGTTTTATGAGGCATTTTGAGGATAAATGAGTTAATCATATAAAACACATAGTACCTATATTGTTAATCATATAAAACACATAGTACCTATATTTCACCTACCTGACCTGTAGGTGAAATCTCATTTTGTGGACATGTGCCACTAAATTCATGAAGTTAAATTCTATTAAAAAATTCTGTTTTGTTTTTACCTTCCATTTAACTATTGCTGTTGTGTTCCAGTGGGTGAGATTCTTCTAGTAAAAACATTAAGCCACCAGGAAACCAGTTGCATGGCTGAGGACTGTAATTAATGTAGCCCTTCTCCAAAAATCGGCTTTTCATTTGCGGCACTCTCCTTACTTTGGAACCTTGCTGCCATTGCAGGCTATTTTTTCCTTTCCTGGACCACAGGTGTCTTGGTTGGGCCCCTCCAAGTTTTCCCTTTCTTGTGATTATTGGCATAATCCCAGTTCTTGGTAGTCACAGCCTTATAGTATGTGGGTTGCCAGTCTACTCCTTTAGGTATTACAAGTGGAAAATTACTGTACCTCAAACATGGTTAATGTAAATTGTCTAAGGCATAAGGTAAAATTTCGTGTCATCTGTCCGCAGTGAAGGTATTGGTGCTATTAGTATTAAATGCCTATTTGGAACCATTTTTACATTTGATCATTAAAAATACTCTTCTTCCTGTAATGCATGTGTTTTTGTTTTGCTTTCCTTTTGCAGTTCATTCTCATAGACTAGTTTTAAAATTTCAGTAGCATTTAAATTAACTTTTATTTTAAAAACAGATACAATAATGTCAGAAGTGGAGAAAACATAATTGTAACATTATTTTTCAATACTTTAATGATCCTAGGAGTATAAGTAGTAAGACATTGCATAACAAAATGAGCACATATATTAGAGATATTTTCAAAATGATTTAAAAGTTATGTGTAGCACAGTTACTTGTGCAATATAAAGGCAAGTTAAATGTCATAATCATAAAAAATATAGTAAACTTTTCCCAGTGACAGTATGAACCAGAACACATAAGTGAACACCTTTTCATGTCTGGTCATTTTTATTCCTGATGGCAATAAAACCAAGTAAAAGAAATGCAAAATGTTGACTGCAATGTAATGGTTGAAATTTTTACATGCATAAGAGAGTCAGGATAAATTTATGGTCTTACAATGGCTGTAGGTTGCATATATTGTATGTACATTTTTGAGTGATCAGTAGCACCATGGACAAAATACCATGGGGACAAAATCCCAGTTGGTATGTACTGTGGTTTATTGACATTTTCCCCCTCTCAGATGTGTAAAATATTAACCCTGAGACTGATTTCCTCTGGCTTGTCTCTTTTTGTTCAGGGTTAGGTGTAGATGTGTGCCCATCATTAGCCTACTCTTTTCTTCTTTGGAATGTACAAAATGGCAATATTAATGTGGAAGAGGGAGTTCAAATTGCAGTCTTTCCATATTCTGACACCATTTTATTCACTTAAAATTTTGGGGTCAAATATATTTTTCCAAAATGCATCAAGATACTTTTTTACTTCATTTAGTTCTGAGCTCTTTTGAATCAAATTAGAGAACAGTGTCATAGTTTCAACTCCTGTGTCTTGTTTTCCACAATGTCTTGGATCCCAGGAGTGTGAATGAGGGAGGAATGGATGTGATGTAGCAACCCCATCTTTCTGCCATTTGTTTGACATTCCCTTTGCCACTGATCAAATCCTATCTCTGGGTGTTTTCTGAGTACTTTATTTTAAATTAGGACTCTCTGGTTTTCCTTTCTCTGTGTTTCTACCTCGAGGCAGGAAGAAAGGTGTGTTTTAACTTACTGCAGTGGTGAAGGATGATTGTTTACCTCCATCTTAAGGGATACAATCTGCTTTTACAAACCGAACACGAGAAAAAAAGCAGATAACTAATAGATGCCTGCTTTTAGGTACAAATATACTATAAAGAAAACTCTTTAGAATACATTACTTTTTATAAACATGGTTAAAATCAACAGATTTCATCTACAGAGTGGTAATATATCAAAAAAACAACTCAATGGAAGTTTATAGAGATTAATTAAATTGAACTCTTTTTTATAAGCAGACTTTTTACAAGGAATACATAGTATTTAATATTTCAGTCAGAAGTCCTGGGTAGATTTGAAGAAATATGTTGCTTGCAGCCTGGCCATAACAAAAAAGATTTAATTCCCAAATATTGCTGGGGGAGAACTGTATTGTCCAGTGGCCATTACATAGTTTTCTCTATGCTAGGATCCTCCCTTTTTGAAATTTGGCCTATTATACTTAGCTCATCTTTTACAGCACAATTACTTTGGGTTGGCAAAGATCTCTGGTTAAAGAAACTGAATGAGAGTTCTGTGCCTTTCTTACCTGATTATACTCCCACTGCTCATATCTTTGAGATCTGTATCTGTCCCACAGAGTCAGGCATTTAAAGTTTCCTAGTAAATCATTGGTGTTTGCACCTATAAACTCAGTATTAGAAGTAAATAAAACTCCTTTTATTTTACTTGGAATAAAATACTATGTGGAAAACTTAATTTTGAAATGTCCAAAGCCTAACTAAGGAGAATTCCTTTAAATTTTTAAAGCCTATCACTTTACCAAGTTGTATTACTGGAAAGCTATGTACTTGGGTCACATTTTAGTAGCTCTCCAAATAGATGCCTTAAAAAATTATTATTTAATAGTATGCCCTTACCTTTTATTCGGGGTCAACTAAAGAGAAGACTATATGACAACCATTTCTATTAGCTTTTATGAAATTGAAATTGAATTCCATGGGTTATATTAGTTCTTATCCCTAATAAAGATTCGTATCGGAAAGGCCTAGAGCTTTATCCTAGAAGAATTTCCATCTTTCTTTTTTAACAAACTGGTATCTGTTCATTTATTGGATACCAAGTGTATTATAGCTCAAAAGTTTCCCACTTTGAGGGGCTTTCTAAGACTCACAGAACCAAATTGATTATAGCTTGGGGATTCTGGTAAAACCTTACTAATGTTTTTCTTCACTTCATTCACTGGTTCATGTTCTTGTCCCATTGCTATAATGGTTCACTTTCATAGCTTTCCTGGAAATAGGCAGTTAAATAGTAACTGAATGAGCTAGATTATTTTATTCTAAATTCTAGAATCAGAGTAAGCGGTTTTTAAAAATAATCAGTTATTTAAAAAGCAATATTTGAACATCTCTTAAATTACTACCCCAACTCAGTGAATTCTCCATTCAACTCTGAACACAGTTTGAGTTGCTGCCATGCTGCAGGATATGGCAAGCAAGACTGGAGCTCCTACTCTGTACATCATTGCATATCTCAGAGTGAGGTTGCATGCTGAGCATGGAGATTTAAAAAGGTGAAGAGGTTGGTGATTACCCATTCCATTTATGTATTTTGTAGTGATAGCTATTACCATTACAGATTCTGCCTTTTGGGTTTTTTCCCCTACAGCTTTGGAATCTATTTGGACTTGTATTCCTAGTTTCAGAAAGTACCCTCAAGAAGATCTTTCTTTTCCAGAGTATTCTTGGAATTACTTGAGTTGTAGGTTATAAGAATTCCCTGAATATGTTTTTCAAGCAGTTTATTTTTACATTGCAATTTACGTTCCAGGAAAATTGATGAAATATGTACATCTTGATTCTCAGATTTGTTTTTGGTGTTTAAAAATTTGATTACTAGAATGTATTGTTAACAAGTCAACTTATGTCTCTTAACATTAAAATGTGTTTAACTTTTTAATATAGATTAGGTCATTAAACTTGTTGTTTGTTCTGCCATAGGGTCCTGGTTACTGGGTGAAGATTCATCACTTAGAATATACAGATGGAGGAATCCTGGATCCAGATGATGTCTTGGCAGATGTTGTTGAAGATAAAGACAAGGTAGATAACTCTAAAAATGTGCCTCTTTGTTTTCCTCTATAGAGCTACATGTTTTCAAGAGACTGAAATCCTTAACAAACTCACGTGTCAATTATTATTAAAAGATACCATCTGTTCAGGTTTCACCTGGACAGCCCATAAATCAAAGTTCTTCATCAGATGTTTGGAAAAACTTTGTTAAGGTTTGGGAATCTGTTTGTGTTGGCCTAATTAGCAGATACTTCATTCTCAAGAGTTCCTGATGTGTCTTAATAAATTAGTTTCATACGTAAGGCTGTTGGAGTTATCATTGTCGTTGCTGGCTCTGTAGTTTATTCCTGGCCCTTGCTAAATATTCAACTAAATGCCTGAGGTGTGAATGTGTTTCACAGTAGAGAATACAATGAGACAGAAAGTTATAGGAAGAATTATAGTGAATATTTTTCTTGAAGTAGCTGGCAAACAACTATCTTGAGTGATAGTCTTATTTTCATTGCTACGGTAAAAGGCACTAAATTGAATACTCCAAAAAGTTTGAGCATGTTCTGCCACTTACTTGGAAGTAATCCTGTTGTAAGTATCTTGTTTTAATGAGATTTTTCTTCTGAGACTACATAGAGGAAGGTGTGAAAGTGTACTATTTTATTGCAATACACACGATTATTGCTGTTGAGACACGCTTAATACTGCAGGCTGGGGTCCTGTCATCAATGGCTAATGTGTTTTCCAAAACTGAATTCTGTCAGAGAGATCTAGCTTTCAAAGTTTCTTGTAGTGTACATCTTTAGTGCTGTTTGTACTAGGCTACAAATATAATTTTACAAATTATATTACAAATATAATTTATATTTGTAAACGTGTTTCTCTATATTTTTTCCCTGTAATCTCAGGGGTGTGTATGTGTACATTTTTGTGTTTTACCTGGCTGGACTGGAATATAAATAAGTGATTTATTAAACTCAGGTAAAATTTATATTTTTCTTTTTCCATAAGATCTCTTCAGACTGTTCAAACTTACATTAATCTTTGCAGACATTTTATACACTTACATTTCATATTTTATTTTGTAATTCAAACCTGTTTTGCTTTATGTTGTTATTAGCGATTTATAGTCTATTTAGGGAGATAACTAAGTTTTATAGTCTATTTAGGGAAATAATTAGATATCTAGATAAACCTAGTTATCTCCCTAAATAGATTTTAAGCTCCTAGTGGGCATGGACTGGGAGATTTTTATTTGTGTGTTTTTGTTAATAGTATCTGGTATAATATCTTACACAAACTTGATTCCCAAAAATACTTACTGAATTAATGAGTAAAAAAGACAGCTTTACTTTCTATACTTGACTCTTGCTGTGTATAATTTTGATATATATTTCCTGTTTAGTTGGTCTCAGGATAAATAAAAGGGTAAATAATGCATTATTAATCTTCAGAACCCTGAAGGAAGGGTTTTTACTTCTTTTCCCCCATTTCACTTTCTGCTTCTTCCCTAAAGATCATCTTCTTCCTTTGAAGTAATCCAGATATTTTAGTTGTTTATTAATGTAGAAGGCAGTTCCTGTCTCAGGTTTCACTGATGTCCAGAGCATTAAAATGAAGGGCCAAAAAATGGCAAGTTTAGGAAGGGCCAGAAGAAAATGTCTTACCCCAGCTTCATCCAGTACCTCGTTACTGGAAGGATAAGTCCATGAACAGTGCCCAGGGAGGTAATTTGTCCTATAGAGCTCTCACATTTACAGCATTCTTTTAAACCATCTCAGCAATGCAGTTTATAACCATAATCCACTTACTACACACAGATATAGCTTTATTATATGTAATCTCTGTTTTAATGGGACTCTACCACCATTACTCAATAAGGTAAAAAAGTGAGCTAATCAGTTAAAATCCTAGCTGAGGATTAATACTGCTTGGGTTCAGCTTTACTCTGTTAATGTACTTCAGTATTTCTACATGATGCCTAATTGGTATTGTTCTGCAGAGTTCATGAGAATTCATACTTTTGATGTTGCTAGAAAAAGTTGTGTTGCCATTTCTTCCTTTTAAAAAGTAAGTGGCACGGCGACTCACGCCTGTAATCCCAGCACTTTGGGAGGCTGAGGTGGGTGGATCACAAGGTCAGGAGATCAGGATCATCCTGGCTAACACGTTGAAACCCCATCTCTACTAAAAATACAAAAAATTACACAGGCATGGTGGCATGCGCCTGTAATCCCAGCTACTCGGGAGGCTGCAGCAGTAGAATCAATTGAACCCGGGAGGCGGAGGTTGCAGTGAGCCGAGATCACACCAGTGCACGCCAGCCTGGGTGACAGAGCAAGACTCCATCTCAAAAAAAAAAAAAGTAAGTGAAAAAAAGAGTTTCATATTTTTTGACAACCCTTGGTAATCTTAAGATTAGAAAGAAGGCCCTGCCAAATTTCATTTTTCCTTACTTTTTCGCAGTTTGGATTAAGAAGTAACTATAAATGATGCTTTGTGGATGCTTAATGACATATCAGTCTCACCCAGGATCCTTTGAGGCAGTATTGAGCTTAGACAAAATAACAGTTCACCTGTTTGTAAATTGGCTACCTAATAATCTTAGGCATTTAAAATATGGATAGAAAACAAATCCAAAGAGGTATGGATAGATGCACATAATCATTGTGCTAACCCCAAAATATGTCACCTCCTAGGAAAGACTCTCCCTCCAGGTGAGAAGTGTCATTAAGGAACTGTTGGTCGATTGCAACGTATCAGGCAGGAAAAACAGAAACTTAGAAAGCAGGGGAGGCTGGGCCAGTTAGTGTACAGTAACACCATCCCGTACACTTCAGTAAAGGTAGAAACTAGAGGTTAAATGATATTCCTCTTAAAATTAGAGAAGGCTCTAACAAAGTTCAGCCAGTGTTCTTAAGAAATGACTTTTAAAACTTGTGCCTAAAGTGGTTTGTCTTTGGTCTTACCTCTATTATTCCTTTGGCCAACATAGTGCTTGGTGCATACATGGTGTCTCTTTGGGAGCTTTGGTTTTTATTTTATTTTATTTATTTATTTTTTTTTATTATACTTTAAGTTCTAGGGTACATGTGCACAACATGCAGGTTTGTTACATATGTATACATGTGCCATGTTGGTGTGCTGCACCCATTAACTCATCATTTACATTAGGTATATCTCCTAATGCTATCCCTCACCCCCACCCCCCTCCCCACCACAGGTCCCGGTGTGTGATGTTCCCCTTCCTGTGTCCAAGTGATCTCATGATTCAGTTCCCACCTATGAGTGAGAACATGTGGTGTTTGGTTTTCTGTTCTTGGCGATAGTTTGCTGAGAATGATGGTTTCCAGCTGCATCCATGTCCCTACAAAGGGCACAAACTCATCCTTTTTTATGGCTGCATAGTATTCCATAGGAGCTTTGGTTTTTTAAACTTGCTTTCCCAGTAGAGCTTCCACGGGGATGAAGTCTCCGCTGTGTTACGCTGCTTCTAGCCTATATGTGTCAAAATATTATTGGAACAGCTTTGGAATATTGCATCTTATGATAACTATTTGTATAAAATGTGCTGAAACTTAATAATTACCTGGTTGTGACAGTTATTCTCAAGATTCTTCAGTTTGTCTATCAGTCTGATGATTCAAGTTATTTAGGATAAATATCTAAGAATTGTAATTTTATACTCATGTCTCTTCTCTGGTTGCTAAAGGCTACCAACTTAGTTCACCCAATAGTACCAACCTAATCATTGATTACTAGCAATGGCCCAGAATGTCTTTGGCCCTTATATATTCTACTTTATTTTAAAGCAATCCTGAAGACGAGAGCTAGTGCTATCCCTATTTTTAATTTCCAGAATAATCACAGAAACTGTAAGTAACTTGCCCAAGATCACACAGGTAGTAAATGGCACAATCAGTCTCTGGAACCTAGAATTTAAATTTCTGTAATGTTATTTATTTTCTTCTCTGATGTCGAGCAGTTTGGCATTTGTATCTATAATTTCTATTATGAAAATTCATCAGTCATAAATTAACATGAATTCTGCTTTTACATAGTCACCACCATTGCTAAGAAAAGGTTGGCAATAGACCAAACTGGTGAGTATAACAAAACAGTTGAGTATACAATTTATTAATTATAAATTAATTCAGAATTAATATGCCATACATATTTAGTATAATTCAACCCTGTTTGCCTATAGCCTGCATCTAGTTTATTATAAAGTCTTGTCAGCTCTACCTCTGTTGCTTTCTTTTGCATCCTCTTTTTTTCTAGGACCTAGATTATTCGATTCAGATACAGTTGAATTTCAGCTGGACTCTGTAGTCTGCACTTAAAGTCTAACCACCATATGCAGTTACAAAGAAAAACTAATTTGTATTCCAATAACTACTTTTTTGCACCAACTATAGACTGCTATTTTCAGTAGGCAGAATAATGGCTCCCCAAAGATGTCTACTCCCTAATCTCTACAACCTGTGAATATGAATGTTACAGGACAAAGGGTCTTTGCAGATGTGATTAAGGATCTTAAAATGGAGAGATTATTCTGGATTATTTGGATGGACCCAATGTAGTCACAAGCATCCTTGTAAATGAGAGAAGGCGGCAGGAGAGTGAGTATTAGAGAGATAGATGTGAGAAAGACTCACCAGCCAATGCCAGCTGTGAAGATGGAGAAGATGCCACCAGCGAAGAATGTAGGTGGCCTCTAGACATTGGAATTGTAAGGGAATGGACTCTCCCCTAAAGCCTCCAGAGAGAACACAGTCCTGCTGATACCTTGATTTTAGCCCAGTGAGACTCGTTTCAGATTTCTTACCTCCAGAACTGTAAGATAATAAATTTGTGATGTTTTAAGCCACTACGTTTGTGGTGACTTGCTACGGCAGCAACAGGACACTAATACATACACTGCCTCTTTTCCCATTTTAACTTTTCAAGTGATGTTAGTCTTCTCAAATTTCATATTGACTGGGCATTGAGATCCTGCAGGATGAGAGAAATGCCTTGTACTTCAGATGAGTTCCTTG